CAAAAAATTTCATTTCCGATTATTAACTTAAGTAAGATTTTTAAAAAATTTAAGAGACAACTATAATGAAACCATGCATCGAATTTTAGGTTTAAATTTTCTTTTTTTTTCCGCTTCAGTGCTTACAACTAAAAATAATATTACTGAAGCGAAGATTATATTTTACTGAATTTCAATGAATATCAAATGAACCATACTACTGTTCTTTAGACTGTAAAATCATGTTTCATTGATACTAATGATTCATTCTGGATACATATATATGTTGACTAGTTTAGAATAAATCTAATTCAATTATGACCATCTGTTGTAACATGATAGACTCGAACAAAAAAAATGCTTTTTTTTTCTCCTCCATATTCAAGAAATAGATGAATCTTAATTTGATATATTTATGAATCAACAAGCAAAGCAGAATCATAAAAATTTTAGGTCTATTTCATTTTTCGATCTAACGTATAATCACAATTATTTCATGATTTTAAAAGTTCTATGTCATCTGTTTTACTAGTCACTATTATTATTTAGATAGTCTAACCTGATATTCTCGTAACCATGAATCAGCTACTTCAACATGAATAGTTCCACCATGTTTTTTCAAAAATTGATAACATTCTAATAAAGTCTAAAATAATTCAATAAGAAAAAAAAGTTAATAGGATCAATCATTTTACTTGAATAGATTGAGAATAAACGACAAAATGTGAAGATATTGCCAGGTAATCAACTAAATGTTGTAAAATTGATAATGAATCATATTTACTTGCAATAATTAAACTAAATAAAATTTATAAATAAGATTATGAATTAATTTTAAACTAAATTAAACCTATTAAGTTTTGTTTTTTCAAATAATTGTAAACCATCAAAACGTCGTTGTCGTCGAGCTAATGCTTGTAAAGATTTTTCAGTTGGTTCTTCTTGTTTTGGTTTTACTTGATTAGCTCGTTCAACAGCATTTGTATCACCTTTATTTTTTTGAAAACAAATAATTGATTCTAAATATCTATTTTTCGATTTAATCTTACCAATATTTTCAATAGGAATTGTATAAACATTCGCTGTAGATTCACTTGAAAAATCCATAAAATCACAACATGGACTAAAATAATAAAATTTACTTATTACATATATAAACTATTTAATATCTTTTAATATACGAAGTGGAATTATGTTCACCAGCTGGTGTTAAATTAAATATTAAACCATCACCACCAGCACAACGTTGAATAGCAGAAGCTAATATAAGTCCTTGACATGATTCAACAATGGCAATATTTGAACCATGATTCACATTTGATAATGATAAAAGCATAGCTAATGTATCACGTCTTAAATACCTAAAATATATATAAATTTAATTAAAAACAAAATTTAATTCATTAAAATATACATGATTTTTTGAAGATCATGTGTATATGCTTGACATAATAGACGAATACTTGGTTTCCATGCTCGATAGATTTGAATATATCTTCGAAGAAAACAAATAAAATTAAAATAAAAAAATGAATTTATTAATAATACTTTTTCTTTTTTTTATTTAGATATTTTTGTTGTGAAAAAACAGTTTTCTTGTCAAATGTTGCACTTTTGGATACAAGTTGAGAAATGATTGATTGACCTGATACACCTTCAGATTTCAATTGTTCGATTTCTTCTTGTTGTAATACTTGATTAACAGTACCTTCATCACATAAATTTCGATTATCTTGACCAGCATTATCAGAAGATGTATCCCCTATGAAATAAAACAAAAAAAAATCAATCATTTTTCTTCGAACTGGAATATGATGACAGATGCTAACCTGGCTGAACAAGATTTTTAGCTTGAACGGTATCAATTTTGCATAAATGTCGTTCTTTAAGTTCAAAATATGATCCATCAGATTCATTAATAATATGATCGAGATATATTTTATTTTTATCAATAAAAATTGGACTAAATGATCAATAAAACAATTAATTGAGAAGAATTTATGACATAATAAAAGTAAAAGTCAAAATCTATTTATTGATATACAAGAATATGCTTAACAGTTTCAAGTAGTTTCTGTATATATGTTGGGGTCAAAATTGGAATTGAGTCAAATTTAGAATTTGACCAGACAAAATTGGAATTCTAGTTTTGACCAGGCAGAATTAGAATTCCAATACAGACCAGTATTTTTTTAGACAAAATTAGAATTCTAGTTTTGACCAGACAGAATTAGAATTCCAATATAGACCAGTATTTTTTTAGACAAAACTGGAATTCTAATTTTGACCAGACAAACTTAGAATTCTAATATAGACCAGTATTTTCTTAGACAAAGTTGGAATTCTAATTTTGACCAGACCAAATTAGAATTCTATTATAGACTAGTATTTTTTTTTGGGCAGAATTGAAATTCTAGTTTTGACCGAACGAACTTAGAATTCTATCATATACTAGTATTTTTTTTTGAACAGTATTAGAGTTCAGATGAAGATAAAAAAATTCAATTGAAATTCGAAGTTTATCCGGTCGAAACTAGAATTTTAATTCTGCCCAAAAAAAAAATATCAGTCTATTTGGGAATTCTAATTCAGCCTGGTCAAAATTAGAATTCCAATTTTGTCTAAGAAAATACTGGTCTATATTAGAATTCTAAGTTTGTCTGGTCAAAATTAGAATTCCAGTTTTGTCTAAAAAAATACTGGTCTATATTGGAATTCTAATTCTGTCTGGTCAAAACTAGAATTCTAATATAGACCAGTATTTTTTTAGACAAAACTGGAATTCTAATTTTGACCAGACAAACTTAGAATTCTAATATAGACCAG